TGTGGCCAGAACAATTAATTTGTATACTTATTTTATATATATTTTTGTATATTTATTTGTAACTGTTCACCTCACTTTTTAATTATGTAGAAGCAAATTTTAGTTTGTTCTATTGAGAAAATGAATATTACTCAATCTGCAGGTTGAATATTTTTGCCTCCATTTTTCTCATAAAATTCTTCTTTCATTTCTTTTTCTTGCCTGGTTGCAGTGGCTCAAATGTCTAGAACAGTGCTAAATGGATGGTAGTGATAATGAGCATGCTTTTCTTGTTTTTGATTTTAACATTAATACTTCTAGTATTTTACCACTAAGTATGATGCCTGTGTTTGATCTGAGATTTGAATTAACGTGAGTGTCATGTTAAGAATCAGTCTTTTAATTTTGTTTTATTAATTAAAAAATTGATATTGAATTTTATCAAATGACTTTTCAAGATGATTGTGGCAATCCAAAAGTTTTTCTCTGTTGCCCAGTCTGCAGTGCAGTGGTGTGATCATAGCTCACTGCAACTTTGAACCCCTGAGCTCAAGTGATCCTCCTGCCTCAGCCTCCCAGGTTGGTAGGACTATAGGCATCTGCCATCACACTGGGCTATTTTTTTAAATTGTAGAAATGGGGTCTCACTATGTTGCCCCTGCTGATCTCGAACTCCTGGCTTCAAGTGATCCTGCCACCTTGGCCTCCCAAAGCACTGGGGTTACAGGGGTGAGCCACTATTCCCAGCCTTACTTTTTACATCTTTAGGGTAACCTATATTTACATACGAAGTTAGTCTGTGCTTTTCTTTATTATGCTTTATCAGTTTTTTTTTTTTAAAGTCAGGGTGTTATGTCAGCTTTCTGTTACTTTTGTCCACTTGAACACTTCATATACCATGGGAATTAATTGTGTTTGAAGTTCAGAGAGAACTTGATTGTGTAAGTAATCTAAACTAAAAGCTTTTTTTGGAAATCATTTCTTATTAACTTTTACATTTTTCCATGGTTACTGATCTGTTGTTTTTTTTGACTTCTTCCTGGGTCAGTTTGCTTCTAATTATTATTTTGGCTGTGTCTCCCAATATTTGATATGTGGTATTCTCATCACTGAAACCTTCTAAGCATTCATTCTGTAATTGTGTTTTTAATTTATTCTCCAATCAATGATTTTTTTTTAAGAACTCTGAAGTTTCCCCAAGAGCTTGGGGTCTTTTTGACTTATCCTTTTGTAATTAATGCATAGTTTTGTTACAGTGTGATCATAGAATGTGGTCTGACAATTTCTTTTGGAAAGAAATTACTTACAATTTTTTTTGGTAGCCTAATACAAAATCAAGTTTTACAAACTTTTCTTATATTTTTTTCTTAATGGGCTAGACAGAAGATCCTTCTCTTTAATTATTCATTTATTCATTGAGAATTGTTTCCACCATGTGTCTCATACATGCCAGGCATTGTATTAGGCATTGCAGGATATAAAATGAATTAGTCATAAGCTTTGTCTTAGGTTGATAACATTTGGATGGAACACAGACACATGTAGACCTAATTATAATACAGAAAGAAATGCAACCGCAGCGAAATGTACAAAAGCAGCAGGCAGCTAGAGTGGGAGTCAATCCCTGTCGTAGGTTCTGAGGATACAAACTTGCCTACGATGGCCCTGAGAGGCTTTCAGTCCTAGCGTGTAAAATATACATTGAGAGCAGAGACAGGCTTTTTGGAGGCAAGGTGATTAATTAGGAAATCACCGCAGACCTTCAGTAATAAATCAGAACATATGAGGGATGGTAAGAGTGCAAGATGAGAACAGAGGATTTTCACACTTAAGGGACAGATAGCAGAAGAGAAGTCCAGACCGGGGGATGAAGGAGGTAGTAGTAAAATTTTACAGACGCTGTGCCAGAGTTTTTCAAGGGGTGCTTGGTCAGTTGGGACAAACAGAGCCAAAAGTTCAAGTAAGATGACTCACACCTGGAATCCCAGCACTTTGGGAGGCTGAGGCCGGCAGATCACGAGGTCAGGTGTTCAAGACCATCCTGGCCAACATGGTGAAACCCTGTCTCTACTAAAAACATGAAAATTAGTCGGGCCTGGTGGCACGTGCCTGTAGTCGCAGCTACTCGGGGGGTTGAGGCAGAAGAATCGCTTGAACCTGGGAGGCGGAGGTTGCAGTGAGCTGAGATCACGCCACTGCACTCCAGCCTGGGTGACACAGCAAGACTCCGTCTCAAAAAAATTAAAAGAAAAAAAAAATTTCAAAAGTTTCAGTTACCTTTGGTCTTTGGGGACTTGGAAAGAGCAGTTTCAGTGAAGTGGGGGAAAAAAGCCAAGCCACAAGCAGGTTGAGACTAAATGGGATGTGAGATGGTGGAGACAAGTATTTTTTCAGGAGCTTAGTTGTGGAGGGAATGCAGGAGTTAGAGCGGTAATTAAAGGAGCAAGGCTGGCTGGGTGCGGTGGCTCACGCCTGTAATCCCAGCACTTTGGGAGGTCAAGGCAGGTGAATCATGAGGTCAGGAGATCAAGACCATCCTGACTAACACGGTGAAACTTCGTCTCTACTAAAAATACAAAAAATGTAGCTGGGCATGGTGGTGGACACCTGTAGTCCCAGCTACTCGGGAGGCTGAGGCAGGAGAATGGCGTGAACCCAGGAGGTGGAGCTTACAGTGAGCTCAGTTTGCACCAATGCACTCCAGCCTGGGCGACAGAGCAAGACTCCATCTCAAAAAAAAAAAAAAAGAGCAAAAATCAGAAAGACTGTTGGGATATAAAGACAATGTGAGAACGTGAGCATGTTTAGCTAATGAGGAGTGCGCGCTGAGAGCAAGGGAAGGCATGGCTGTTGTTGAGAGTCCTAAGCAGGTGGGAGACACATGGTGAGACACAAAGCCCAGGTGGGAGGTGGCCTCTTGACAGGAATAGGGCACCTCTTCTTGAGTCGAAGGCAATGCTTGGAACTGGTAGGGAGTGTGGGCAGAAAGATGGGCTCTCCCCCATGTCTTTGCAAGGCTGTGTCATTGTAGAACCTTTAGTCACAGTCCTGGACTCTGACTGAAAGGGTCCTGGGTCTTGGCCTCTGTGTTAACAGTTTGCTTCATAGGGAAGATTTAGGATTCATCCCTTCCTCTCCTGCTATAGAACTAGAAAAGAATCCTACACCAGTGGTCCCTAATGTATTTGGCTCCAGGGACCAGTTTCATGGAAGACAATTTTTCCACGGACTGGGAGTGGGGGGATGGGGATGGGTTCAGGATGAAACTGTTCCCCCTCAGATCATCAGGCATTAGACTCTCATAAGGAGCATGCAGTGTAGATCCCTCGCACGCACAGTTCACAATAGGGTTTATGCTCCTATGGGAATCTATTGCCACAGCTGATCTGACAGGAGGCGGAGCTCAGATGGTCATGCTCGCTTGCCTGCTGCTCACCTCCTGCTGTGCAACCTGGCCTCTAAGAGACCACAGGCAGGTACCTATCCATGGCATGGGGGCTGGGGACTCCTGCTTTACACTTATGATATAGTTTGGATGTTGTGCCCACCCAAATCTCATGTTGAGATGTAATCTCCAGTGTTGGAGGTGGGGCATGGTGGGAAGTGATTGGATCATAGGGACAGATTTCTCATTAATGGTTTGGTACAATCCTCTTAGTGCTGTTCTTATGATAGCGAGTGAGTTTCTTTTCTCTTCTTTTCTTTTCTTTCTTTCCTTTCTTTCCTTCCCTTCCTTCCTTCCTTCCTTCCTTCCTTCCTTTCTTTCCTTCCTTCCTTCTCTCTCTCTCTGTCTATGTCTCTTTCTTTCTCTCTCTCTCTCTCTCTCTCCTTCTTTCTTTCTTTCTGTCTGTCTCACTCTGTTGCCCAGGCTGGAGTGCAGTGCAGTGGTGCACTCTTGATCTTGGCTCACTGCAACCTCTGCCTCCCAGGCTCAAGCATGCCACCATGCCCGGCTAATTTTTGTATTTTTAGTAGAGACAGGGTTTTGCCATGTTGGCCAGGCTGGTCTCGAACTCCTGACCTCAGGTGATTCACCCTTCTCGGCCTCCCAAAGTGCTGGGATTATAGGCATGAGCCACCACGCCCAACCGATAGTGAGTGAGTTCTGGTAAGCGCTGGTCATTTAAAAGTGCCCCCTCTCTGTCTTGCTCTTGCTCTGGCCATGTGGCTCATCTGCTCCCGCTTTGCCTTCCACCATGATTGTCAGTTTCATGAGGCCTCCCCAGAAGCCGAGCAGATGCCAGTATCATGCTTCCTGCATAGCCTGCAGAACTGCGAGCCAATTAAACTCTTTTCTTTATAGATTACCCAGTCTCAGGTATTTATAGCAATGCAAGAATGGACTAATACTACTTACCTTTCCTGAGGCTGTTGTCTCTGTTGGGCATTGAGGAGTTTCTAGAAGTCTCTCTTTCTTTAACTATGTGGCATGCAATGAATCATCAGAATAATTAACCCAGTCAATTGTAAACAAAGTGATTGATGGATGCCATCAGATCACAAAAGTTCCTATTACCGTAAATACAAGTGGATAAGTAAATCAAAATAATGCTTCAAATCCTCAGTAGGCCTCTTTTTCTGTTTCTAATTGAAGATTGTCACATCAACACATAAACAAAAATGCCTGTGAAGGAAATGTATATTTTAGTGCACTGCATTTTTATATCTGAAGTTTATTTCTATTCCTAACTTTAAATGCTGAGAAAGGGATTTGTTTTGGTGCTTACAAAATTTTCCCATTTGCTCTTTGGGCTCTCACAAGTTGACAACAAATTACTGAGACCGAGGGTTTTTGTCTTTTTCTGTTATTCTAGAAAACGCTGTATCCTCTGTATGGAGGGAAATTTCTGGTTTGATTAACACTGTATATTATTATGAGACAAAGCCTAAATATAAAAGATTACTCACACAGGCTCTTACGTTGAGTAAGATATTATGTATTAAAAATCAGGGTTAATAGTTTAACAGGCTCGTTATGGTTCAGAAATCCCCTGGGGGACTTCAACCGTCTTTTCTGGATGTTCACTTTGCCAAATAGGCTGCCTCTATGTCATACCTGAAGGGCGGGCTCAGACACTGATTGGGGGAAGTGTCACCCTTACTATAGCAAGAAGTCAGACATCCAAGGTCAGACACTATGCAAAGTCAGATACTTCAAGGGCTTTCCTTGGAAGGGAGGATGAAAAGGGAAGGGTAGGAACATCAGCTCAGGTGAGACATATGAATTCAACGAAACATCAGGGATGGTTTGTCATGTTTGCGAGCAGCACAGAAAACGGCAATTTGCTCCAAGTTCCCAGCACACCAAAGGGGGCAGCAGCGCGTCTGTAAAGTGCGTTGTCGACTTGGTGATAATTTCTGTTTGCATTCACACTCACTGATAATCTCAATTGTTCGAGGCAATTCAACAGATAACAATGCGGAAGTTTGGTCTAAAGCCACCTGAAATAACTTCCACGAGCTCTTCCACCTCTTCTGATAAAGCTGCCTTTGATAGTTTTCATTAACCCCTCCCATATTTGCTCCTCAGAGTCCCTTGGCTTAGCAGCCCCAGCCTTTGAAGTCCAACCTAAGCATTCTTAGATGATGAGTGAGGGTCTGCCTTCCCCAGCACCAGCCACTTAGTCAGACTTGTGGCTGGTCTAACAAACTGGAGCCTGGAATTCTGAGAAAACGAAACCAAACAGTTGTACTCCGGGGTTAACACAGAGTAACTTCCACCTGCTGTGTGAGTTGGTGATCCTTTCTCTTGCTGTTGGAGAGCCCCAGTGAAAACTTCAGTGAAATGAGAGGGCATGGAGCCTGCCAGTCGCCTGCCCTGCACACACACACACACGCAAACACATTTAACTTTCCACTTGCAGTGACCTGCCCTCCAGTGTGACTTATCAGCTGTTTGGCTTTTGTCACTAAAGGAAAACAAATTGTGGAATGTCCTGCTCTGCATGCTTATGAGATGGCCGAGCCAACTTAGGGGTTATGAGGTGGTTTGCAAGTGAGGAGAAGAATGATCTTCAGTTTCTGACCTCCTGGCACGGTGGCGGGCGGTATTTATCAGGAGGTACATGTGACTGGTTAAGACTCAGAGCCCCAGCCTGAAGGAAACAGCTGCTCTCGGCGTGCTCCGGCACTTGGCAGCTGGACAGGCAGAGTGCTGATGTGAAAAATACCACCACGACAAAACCACCCCAGTAAGTAACTAGAGAACTTTCCTCTCTCTCTCTCTCTTTCATTCTCTCTCCGTGTGTGTGTGTACGTGTGTGTGTTGCAAGCCACCAAAAACTTATTATTTTGATTGTGGTTTCCCTCTGGCACGATAGGAGGAGATATTTTATTTGTACCTGTTAACAGCCATTGGTGTTTTCACAGCCCTTTTTCAGAACCTGTTATTTTCGGCAATGGTATCTTGTAACTTTGAGGATGAACGGGGCATGTGGCTTCACTCCTGTCTAGGAAACAGCGAGTTTGTTTCCCAGTGTTTGGAATTTTTCTGGTCCATGGTGTTTAGGTTCAAAGCCAAGATTCAGGTTATGAAGTAGAGACTTCATTGAAGTGAGTTGATGACTAGATTTGATTTTAATCTGTTTCTACCACTGAAACCTGAAAACATACTTGTTTAAAATAACTTGTGAATTTGTTGTATGGCTGACTTGGCTTTTCCTATGCAATTTTTGAGAATATCTCATTTAATTGTGTAGAACTGTCTGCAGTATAGAAGATTGACACAATAATATTTAGATTCACATTAGAAATCATACTTAGATTTCTTGCATGGTTTCCAACTAATTGAAAGCTGTATTTTATAGCTACTTTATTTCCCCCCCAACAAGCTAATTCACCTTCATTACTTTTAAATGTTCAGTTGCCCCTGGTCTTCCTTATTTTAGTGTTTTCGTGATGCTCGGGCTGTTTCTTCCTTGTTTATGACCTGGTTGGGAAAGTGCTGCCTGCAGCTGATAATTAACTCTGGGAGGCCTGGCATCCAAATTACAGAGAGGACCGGCTCTTTCTCAGGTTCATTCAGCAATAATGGCGCTTGCTCTTGGGAGAGCAGCAAAGCAGGCACCATGCTGGAACTGAGCTGTTGTTCAGCGACTTTTGTCCTTCCTTGGTAGTCACCACACAGAATGCTTCAGAGGAAAGGCAAAAGGGGAAAAGAGAGAGGGCAGAGCTCTAAACTGATGACGTAAACCTCTCAAAGTGACAGGTCTTTGAATCAGAGGCTGCAGGGAGATAACCAAACAGGTTCCTGTTTCTGGAGATTGCATGGACCTTGAGGAGGGCGGGTAGAGAGGGGCTGTTTTTATTTGAAGTCTCACCAAATAGTTGTTTTGCTTGTGATAAGCCTAAGACAACCTGGAGTGCGCTTGTTTCCTCGTGTGACAAATGGATTCTCAAACAGGCTCAAGTTATACGATTTTCTTTCACCCTCTGCCCCCTGCCATGAGGGAACACTATTCTCTCCCCACCTTTACCGCCCCTTGTTGTTTGTGGAGAATGGATTAAAATTGACCCAGGGCATGCCACTTCTGTGGTCGAGTTTCCCTTAATACAGTGGGTCTTGAGTACCACACCAACCAATGTTCTCTGATGGAAGCACTTTCAGATGCCCTGTCTAAACAAATGGCTAGCCTGACACTGAGAAGTTCTCCACCTTCTTTTCCTTAAAATTTAGAAGAATCCACAAAACCTAGAGTGGCCAATGAGGAAAAATAGTCCCAACTTCTTCTCTGTTCCTCGGTATGGCATTTGTGTGAGGTCCTTGGGTCAGCCGGTGGCCATGTGGTCTCTGACTTCCCTGTCTGACTGCTGGGGGAGGGGGGGTCCTCCTGAGTCATTCTTTAGGGAGTTTGTTCCTGGTATAGTTTCATTTCTTCCACAGGTTGATAGTGGAAGAGAACCCTCTGGTGAAACTGTGTCTCTGGAATCATCGAGCCTCCCATAATAAAATGGAAGGTCTAAATGGGAGCAGTTGAATTATCCAACTGCTATATTTTTGAGAGCCAACGGACTCTTTTGAAAAACCCATGATACCCTGACTTTTCAAAATATTAATAGAAAAATAATAAAAAATAATGATTTTACTTGCAGATAGCACATCCATTGACTCAAAGACGTTTTGACCTGGATAGGAATGACAGAATGTGCAATTTAACTCTTTCATTTCAAAGATGAGGAAACTGTAGCAAATTTATTGAAGTCACAGTGCAGAGCCAGAAGAGAGAGCTCGAGGCTTCTTTGACTATTACCATAATAATTTCAATGCTAATAACAATCCCTTACATTTATTGTGCACCTACTATGCCAAATGATGTGCTAAACAAGTGTATTTATTTTCATAGTCTCCTCACAATAACTCTATGTGCTATATATTATTATTCCAGTTTTATAGATAGGAAACCGAGGTTCAGAAACCCCTTAGTTACTTGACCATACGTAACACAGACAGGAGGGACACCTGGATCTGACTGTAGAACCTGTAGACATTAAAAAATAAAAGTGGAATCCCACACATTTAAATTTAAAAACTCACAACATGCAAATGAGAGTATTTCCAGCACAATATGATTACACACACAATGTGTGTTATGGCCTCTTCGAGCTCTCCATGACAGGAAGGGCTAGGTTTCCCCCTGGGACAGTCCAAGCCCAAGCTCTATAGGATCACTGGCTGGTGGCATGTTTTTCTCTTTGAAAATAGTTCAGTGACGGTCCTGATGTTGGTAAGAACAGCAACTGGGAACTTTGTTATTAACCTCCAGCACACGGCTCCCATGCCCCTTCTGGCCTTTCCCTCCATTTTTCCTGTCACTCCTTTCCTTTGGAAGACAGCCACTCCGCCCATGCCCCACCCCAAATGGCTGGCTTAGTGTTGATAAAGCTATTATCAGACCCGTTCCCTGTGCTCAGCCTGGAAGGTTGGTTGTCTGAGTAGGTTGCTGATGAATAGAAACCATGCACTCTGCCACTCTGCTCCATTTTTTTGAGCTGTGGGTGTAGGGGGTGGGTCACAGGGCAGGGGACTAGCTGGCAGGAGGGAGGGAGGAGAGGTGTGCTCTTCTCCGCTGCCTGCACCTGCCATTTACCCTGAGTCACACTTCTCTGCACATCAGTTGCATATCTAAAATTCTGGCGGTCTCATGGGTGGGCCATGAACCTGTGGATTTTCTGGGTCATCAGACACGCAGAGCCCTTAAGAAACCTGCCTCCTCCTGAATCCTTTTAAAAATGTCGCTTGCTGCCCGCATTCCTCCACTTTAGGTTAAGTGTCAAAATTAGGGTTGGAGATAATGGGAAAGAGCACCAGGTAGTACATAATCAGCAGGGGACCTTTGAATAATCAGGAGGAAAATCAAGCACAAGTATGCCATGTGTGGATATCTCTGAGAAAGTTATCAGTGTTTCTGCAAGGTCATTCTGACAAGATTGCACATTTTGAAGATCAAGCTATTTATAGCATGAAAGAGGAATTTTTAATATTTAATCCTACCTGCCTGCTGCCTCTAAAACTAAGCCCAACTCAGTAGTAGTCAGTGATGTGGTTTGCTAGGCCACAACCCCTGGGAATTGCCTCCAGTCCTTGCTAGGAATTGCTCACTTCCGTAGAAATTGGCACTGTACAGGGGTGTCATATGGGTACACGTGAAGTGGACTCAGAATCATGACAGAGTCCACACGTCATACTCTGGAGCTCGTTTGAAAGAAAATAAAATGCTTGATGCGTTTTGGGGGGCCTTTTACAATACGGAAACAAATTCTGGGATACAATGCCTATTTTATTTCTTCATTTTTGCCTGATTATGTGTTTCTAAGACATCTGCTTCCAAAAAATTAACTTTCTTGAATCTTCCTTTCCTTTGATATTGATTTCTCACTAACAGTCTCTGGAGTTAACAGATCCAGTGTCATGTTCCCACTGCTCTATGGGATTTGAAGTCTTTGGATTTTTTTGCTGTTTCAAGTGATTATTATAGCTTCAGAGTCTGTAGTGTGTAGAGTCACTGTGCTTTGATCTTTGAACACATCTTTGGTATTGAGAAGATGAACCTCTGCATTTATATATACTGGCATAAGGCACTTTCTTGCACCTTGACATAATCCCATGAAAAAGGGAGGGTATCATCACCATTGTTTTCCAAGAGGAAACAGAGGACGAGAGAAAATGAGTGACTTGTCTATGGTCATGGGAAAAGTAACTGTCAGAGCTCAACTATATCTCCTGTCTACTGACTCCAAGTGCCAAGCTTTTTCTGTTAGTTATGCCATCTTTCAGAAAAAGACCAATTTCAACTATTTCATGACCATGCACTTACATAATCTGTGGCGTTATCTTTGGTGATAAAAAGTTGTGTAATTTGTATTCTCTTCTGATAGGCAAAGAGTGAATGGATGACCAATTTGCGACATGCCACTCATGATATTTCCAAAGCCTATGGACATTTGACTTTGGAAACAGGGTCAGCTTAGTCGGCAGACACAGTATTTGCTTAGGGTAATTTTTTTTGTTTTTTTTCAGACGGAGTCCCACTTCTGTCGCCCAGGCTAGAGGGCAGTGGGACGATCTTGGCTCACTGCAACCTCCGCCTCCCAAGTTGAAGCGATTCTCTTGCCTCAGCCTCCTGAGTAGCTGGGACTACAGGTGTGTGCCACCACACCCAGTTAATTTTTGTATTTTTAATAGAGACAGGGTTTCACCATGTTGGCCAGGCTGGTCTCAAACTCCTGACCTCAGGTGATCCTACCCGCCTTGGCTTCCCAAAGTGCTGGGATTATAGGCGTGAGCCACTGTGCCTGGCTAGCTTAGGGTACTATTTTTAAAGGAACTTAGTGATCATTTTTCTGTCTTGAAGACTCATGTGGTCAAGTTGGAGTTATACCAACTATGGCATGATGTAACATTCAGCTTTGAGAGACAATTTGGTTGTTTCCTGTGATATGAAAACTGCAGTCTGCTCTTCAGTGTGCACTCTCCTTGCCCAACAAAACCATCAGCATTCTTGAAAGTTCTGCCTGGGTACAGCACCTTTATTCCTGTGGAGGTATAATATACTCTAAACACCATGAATAGTGTCCATTGTGATCATTTCCCTCTGCATGATTATCTGCCCACAACTGAGAGAGTCTTAAGTTGCTTGAATAATGGTGATGTTTCACTATCTGTCAGTTTCCCAATATGGCCATTCAGTTCATT